AAAATAGAAAAGAAGACTAGATGGACATCAGGATATCTGCATTACAGGCCTGAGCCTATATCGTCTATATGACCTTCAGTAAGTCCTTTATTCTTCTTAGCTTCTGTTTCCTCATATGTATAATTACATGAGTAGATCAGCTATCAGTATGCTTCTTCCAGTTCATTCTAACTTTTTTCATTGGAAGGGAATTATCGAGTTACAATTAAGACAATATGAAGCACAGAGCTTAATAACTCTTTGTTCTTCTTGTTCTGATTTATTTTGTTTTACTATAATTTCTTTGTGTGTGTGTGTGTGTGTGTGACCGGTAAGGGGATCGCAACCCTTGGCTTGGTGTCACCTGCACCGTGCTCAGCCAGTGAGTGCACCAGCCATCCCTATATAGGATCTGAACCCACGGTGGGGAGCGCCGCTGCGCACCCAAGCGCTGCACTCTCCTGAGTGCGCCACGGGGCTGGCCCTACAATTTCTTAATTAAAATATTCTTTTGGAAAATATGAACTATTTGTAAAAGTCCGAGGCAAAGTTAGATGATTGTCCATTGATAAGAAACAGTAAAGATGTGTGTCCCTAGTCATGGAAAGAAATTATTTGGGAGCTCTGAATATTTCTTTGTTCTGGAAGAGGATTATAACAATGCTTCTTGTTTTTGCACAAGCAACTGACATTAAAGCTCAGTGTAGCTTTTTCAAGATCTGATTGACTTTTCAGGCAAAGGTACGAAATAACTCCAGGCACCTCCAACCAAAATAAGGCCCTTCTACTCCTAGGCCATGGCAAGGTCCTTGCTTATCAAGAATATAATTTTTTTCTCAATATGGATATTTACAAACTCTTTCCAGAAATTTTAGTTTTCTGCCCTTGGAAGATGCACTTTAAGTTCTCTAATTAAAAAGCCCAAAAGGTCCCTCAAAGTTTTCCCTGATAAGAATATTGAAAAGTATACTCAAAATGGGATAATCCAGGGCCACTCTTCCCTGTAAAAATAGAGAACCAACCTCTTCCCACTGCCTCCCACTCAGGGGAACTTTGGAAACAAAAGCATCACACTGAAGATTCAGATTTTTATTCAAAATTGTGTGGTACAAACATGGGTGCCATGTGTGGTATTGGGCATAGCTTTCCTATTGGAAGGGAGTAATTTTCTTAAGAGAATGGATGGACTTTCAGACAGACTTGAAATAACTCTTCTCCCCTCACCCCAGCAAACCAAAGGGAGGAAACCAAGATTAAAAATTGGGGACTGTCCATATGCATCTCCTCTTAAAGGGTCTAAGTTTTGTAGGTAACTTCTAAGACTCCAGGAATAACTCAAATTACGTAGGAATTTAATAGTTTTACTCCCAAATTGTAATTCTCTTATGAAATTGCACTAATTCCTCAATAGAGCAAGAGATATATATCTGCACAATTGAAGGTACTAGACTTAGAGATACTGAAGGTGTATCTTCCCCTGGTTTCTCACAGAGAGAAGGCACAAGAGGAAGGCCTACAGCAAAATCAGGAATGGTGGGGTATGTCTGTGTGCTAAAGGAGCACTCCACAGAGGGCACAAGGAAGAAAGGAAAACTAAGCATTCTGCTTATCACAGATTAGATGGCATTGCCCTCTGAAAGGGTAAAAGAGGGAGATCTAGTACACTACTTACAAGTTTGGGGACATTACTGTTGTTGTCATTATTATCATACAAAGTGTATTTGGATTCCCATAGCAGCCAGCCACCAAAAAAAGAAATCAAAGTATATGCGTCTGGTCCAATGTTTTGAGCCTGTGACTAGAATGTACATGGTCTGATTATAAAAGATACCTCAGCCTTCTTCCATTCCTCTCCCCCTTTACCTCCTATCATGATTTTTCCCTTGCCTCTCTGCTTCCTTCTGTCATACAAAGCTGAATCTACTGACTCAGTTATGGCTTTTAGCTATTTTGTATTCAGTGTAAGAGCCTTTTTCATACTTTGTTGTCATATTTTCTTATAACTAATGGTTTTTGTAATTGTATGAGCATTTAAAAATATTTTTATCTTTTATCTTTTTTGTATTCTAAGTAGTTTACTTAACCGGAAAGTAGTTTACTTTCCCCTGCCATTATACAGGGGAAATTAATAGCATGTCCATGCATCAAACAGCAAATCATAAATACCTTCTTTTGTCCACATTAACTCCTCAGAGACACATGTAGTATCTCAAAACACTTCCATGTTTGGTCTTAGATGGCATAAAGAGCCCCTTGGGGAAGGTTAATGGCTTCACACTTAAAATATAGTCTCCTGGCAACTCTGGAAATTGA